TTACCCACCACGTCTGGTCCGGGCCCTGGGTAGGTATCTAATGCTAAAAAGAAGTCCGAGTGCCTGGCTCCTCTTCTCCCCTAGTTCAATAAGCAGATGGATGAGAACCCCTCCGCAGCCCCGCCCCCGGGTCTCCAAAGGTCAGAGGTGGCACCCAACCCTTCTCTCCTGGGAAGCCATGTGGCAAGGCTGATACTGGAGAAAGGGCCCTGCCCCCATACCAAGGGAGGCTTACTCCAGCCCCCTCCCTCAGGAGCCAGCAGGTTAAACCTCTGACCACAGGGGGTGCATTCCTGGCCCCCTCTTGCTCCTGGAGCTTCTGCATGCTGCCCTTATTTCTAGGTAGCAGGTGCATTTTCACTGGTTTCATTCTGATAGCCCCTGGAGGTGGGGGCGGCCGCAGGAGGCCTCCTTCCGCGCCTTTGGGTCTGTGTACTGCGGGAAGAGGATGCGGGAGCACTAAAGGGAACCCCAAGCGGGGATCCGCCGGGGGACCCCCAACCAACAGTGGCACCGGGGCTGGAGGAGCGGGGAGACAGGTGGCCGCAGTAAAGAAGGCAGCGAAACGTCAGAGCCTTCCCAGCAAAACTTTCTTCTTAGTATTACTTCAAACCGCTTCAAACAGTTTTTTTCTAAGTCTTTTTTTTTTTTTTTTTTTTTTTGGAGAAATGCTCTCAATTTTCTCCTCTCGGCGCTGCGCGGAAGCTCCCTGAGCGGCCTGTGTGGCAGCGCCATCTGCTGGCCGCCTCTTAAATTCCGGCCTGAGATCCCGCCCAAGTCCTGCTCCCCCTGCCCGCCCCCTCCAGCAAGTGCCTGATGCAAGGAGGGGACCGAAAAGGTCAGTGCCCTTCGATACAGGAGTGACCAATAAGACTCTGGCCCATGTTCATTCTTACTAAGAACAGTGGAAGGTACTTTAAGCCGTGGACACCACGTCTGCTCTTTCCCACTGGCAGTCGTTTCAAAGTGTTAACATCCTGGGGATACAGGAGGTTCCCAGAAATGGGCATCTCTGTGCTCAGCTGGGAGAGGAGGGACTTAGCTCTCCTGGAGAGAATTCAATAACATCAAAACCATGCAAAGTGTTTATGAATCCGGAACACCACAGTTAGTAATTGCCTCGAGGGTGTACACATACAAAAAGACACAGGATCCACGTTTGCAACAGCGCCGCCTGGAATGGGGAAAACGTGGAATGTTAGAAGATGGACGGGATGAGCACTGGGTGTTATTCTGTATGTTGGTAAATTGAACACCAATAAAAATTAATTTATTAAAAAAAAGAAATTAAAAACAATGTGGAAAAATATTGTATATTATAGGGAAGTGCTCATGACATAAAGACAGAATTGAATCATACTCCAGTCATACTTTAATTTTATTATACACGGTATGACACTATCACGGTGGATACATGTCAAGGGGGGTTACGTTCAGCCAAAGCCATAGGAAGCACACCACGGCGAGGGAGCTGTAATGTCAGCTGTGGGCCCCGGGTGATGGTGATGGGACTGCGCAGGTTCATCAGTTGTAACAGATGTATCAGGCTGGTGAAGGATGTGATCGTGGGGGAAGCTATGTGCATATGGGGACAGGGGCTATGTGGGAAATCTTGATTCTCTCCACTCCGTTTTGCTGTGAACTGAAAACCGATCTAAAAATAAAAGTCTATTTTAAAATTTGAAAAGCAGATTACAAAACAATATGTTAAGACTTATTTCTGTTGAAGGCTTGGGCAAGCTAACTATGGTCGCCACACTTGGGGGGCAGGATGTGCCCTGCTGGCCCCTCAGGAAAGGCCCTGGGGGTGTTTCCTACATATCCTGCAGATGAGGGGCTTCACAAGGCCCTGAGGGAGGGGGGGAGCCACTGGGGTTGCCAAGAAGGGTGCTTGCTGTGAGCCCAGTGTTGCTACAGCCATCTTGTCACCAGGAGGAGGGCTTGTCGGGAGGAAGCTGCGAAGCCAGGAAGCAGAACGGAGAAAGAGATAAAGTGTAAGTGAGCGAGGGACCAGATGACAAGGTTTGATTCTTTGGATCCAACTTGGCTTGCAGCTCGTCTATTCCTAGACTTTTCAGATAATAAATTCCTCCCCTGGGTTTCTGTTGCTTGTAACCAAAAGGGTCTGTGCTCCCTAAACACAGGCTCCCCGCTTGCTCACTTTGCAATGAGCCAGTCCCTGGAGATGGATGATGACACACAGGTGGCTGGCTGGGCATATCTGGCAGCCCTTGGAACCCTTTCTCACAGGGCAGCCCCACCAGGGTGGCACATCAGGGAAGGGAGCGCCCTGGGCCTGCCCCCTTTCTGGGCCTGGGGCCTCAACTAAGGGTTCCCAGAGATGGAGGAGGCTCCTGCCACAGGAGAGCTTCTACTTTACCTCGGCCTAAAACTCTCGCCTCCCCACGCTCCAGTGACTTCCCCCTTGGCCTCTGCTGTGGCTCCTTTAAACACCTCCTCCTCTGAGGAGCCTTCCCTGATTATCTGGCTGAGTGAAACCAATCTGTCTCAGCTTCCTTTTACTCTGCTCTGTGAATGACTCCCTTCTAACCTCAATGAGGTTAGCACTGGGGCTGTGCCGTTTCACTGCTGTGTCCCCAGTTCTCAGTAGGGTCTGACAAATAGTGAGAGTGTCATCAATCGCTGTTTACCAAGAAGATGAGACTAGGCACAGATTGATGGATAAGGATGATGGTAAGAGCCTATTGTGGGTGCAGGGCCTCTTTGGGGCAGCAGTATTTTCTTGCTCATACCAGGGGGAGCACGTTGACACCAACCAGAGGACATGCTGAAGGTTTGGGTTTTGACTGAGGGTCAAAATTTTCCTTCAATTGAGGGTCTGACCTGAAATAGAGTATGAAGCCAGGAGCTGAAGCCTAGGTACTGCCTCCCCAGTGGGGTGTGGAGATTTGAGGATGTCAACCAAAGTCAAAACCAGGCCCCCCACTGAGGAGCTGGAAAGCCAGCAGGGCTAAAAGCCACTTCTCGGGCTTTCCCTCTGGCCCGGCAGGCGGCGGCAGGGATCTGCGGCATCCGGTGGGAGGCATCCCCACCTCATTCCTCAGTCCGATGCTGTCCTTGGTGAAAAGGCGCAGGTCTTGTGCCCATTTTATTCTGGGTGACCTCTTCTCCGTGATGGACGGTCGTTCTGTCTTCACGCATCCCAGTAGGACTCATGGGCGGCGGAGACATGCGTGCCGAAGTGTGCCTGCACACACACCCCCGAGCACACCTAGCACAGAAATCCCCCTCCCTTCGCGGGCCGTCCCCTCCTCTCTCAAGGGCGTCTTTTGATGAACAGAAGAACTTTAAGTGAACTCTTAATGTGATCCAGTTAATCAAACATTTCCTTTCTGGATTGTGCTGTTTGTGTCCTATTAAAGAAACTTTGACTACTCCAAAAAAAAAAAAAAAAAAAAAAAAGCTCACAGGGCTGAGGGTGGGAGACCAGGGCCACTGGCCAAGCAGCAGGGAGCAAGACCCCAGAGGGTAGGGGCAAATGCACAGACAACATTGAATGATCCAGTCCACGTGGTCAGAAACTTCTTTCCTTTCCTCCTGAGTCCATCAAAGAGAAGGCTCAACTTGGGGATTACATGTCCCAAACACCCATCTCTCTGTCTCTTTTCACAAAGAACCTCTGGCAGCCTCACATTCAAGGCCGGCCTCAGACCAAGGCCTATGAGGTGTACTAACAGCAATAGGTTTCATTGTGTTGATTTTTATAGCGATCTTTCTAACTATAGCGAGTGACTCTGAGTTTCCATTTAGAGTGGTAATCAGTAATCGGAAGAGTCTTTTTCAAATAAATTTACATAAGTGCAAGGGGGACTGCTACCAGGAAAGTAGCAAGTGGATGACAGCACAGGTGGCGGCACTGTGGGCCCCCAAAGGGTGGGGGTGTGTGGCTGAGTGGGGAGGATGCTGGGAAGGCAGCTCTTTGCTGTTGCCGCAGGAGGGACAGGAAGCATCTGGAAAGCTCCTGAGCAAGTACCCCTCCCCCACTGGCAGGTGGGCTTGGAACTGGTTTTGTAGCTCCAGGGCAGAGTTACAGCCAAGGGAACATCCAGAGGGAAGGGCATGCTGGCCCAGCCCACCGGAACTGAGCCTCCTGGCTCGCTGGCCCTGGCCCCAGCCTTGAGACTGACCCCGTGCCCCCAGGTCCAGTGGGGTGACCTCCCCCACCAATGGCCTCTTGGAAACCCAGCCCGGGATCATTCTGTCTGCCCTTCCTGGAGCTGTCTCTGTCTCTCTCTGTCTCACTGCCTGTTTCCCACCTAGAAACAGAGAGGAGTGAAATAATCTCTAAGGGCCCTTTAAGGATGAGAGGACCAGGGACATATATCCCTACCCCCACCTCTCCCCTCTCCCCTCCAGGGTCAGGCTCAGGGAGGAAGACACAGGCTTGGGGTCATCACACAGGCCTGAGTTTAATTTCCTGCTCTCCACATTGTTAGCTGTGGGACCCTGGGCAAATCAGTTCACCTATCAGGGGTCTGTGTCCTCACTTGTAAAATGGGATGAGTATCTGCTGAACAGAGCCAGATGGGCAGTGATGAGGAGAGCCCTGGACACACATTTGGGCTCCAGAAATGCTGAGGGACCTCTGGGTTTTTGTGCATGGGCAGCCACTGGCAGTGCTGTCTTCCCATCCTGGCTTGGGGTAGGGTGAGAGACCTGCATCCCAGGCACAGAGGCTCCTCAGGTCACCTGATCTCAGCTGACGGGAGGCCTTGCATGGAACAAGCCCCCTCCACTTAGGGCCCGAGTGCCCAGAGTGGGGTTCCTGGGTGTGGGTGAGGCTGACATAGTGCTCCCACTCGGAGCTCCCTGGGTCCTGGGCTGGGGGGCACGTGGACAGGAAGAGGCCTGGGAAGGGAGAAGACAGGTGAGGCTTATGATCTCATAGACTCCTTCTACCCCATATTATAGGCTTTATTTTTTAAGACGTCATTTATTTGAGAGAGAGCAAGAGAGTACAACCAGGGAGCAACAGAGAGAGAGGGAGAAGCAGACTCCCCACTGAGCAGGGAGCCCGATGTAGGGCTCAATCCCAGGACCCCAGGATCACTCCCTGAGCCAAACACCGATGCTTCACTGACCGAGCCACCCAGGTGCCCCCATATTTTAGGCTTTTAAAAAACTTCTATGTACTACACACACACCAGGTATATGTGATCTTGAGACACATGCTCCCCCCATCCCACCCTGTTGCACCTCTGGAGTCAATGACTTTCTTCCTCAGTTGGCCTGAATCCATGTTGACTTCCCTCAGAGAGAACCTGTTTTTGAGGTGCCAGGTACAAGGAACACCTGTACTGGAGACCACTATACCATGACCTCTCTGCTTGAAGTACTTTGGGCCACACTGTGTGTGTTCAGATGCCAAGCCTTATAGTTCAAATCCTAGGAGGAAAGTCCCACCCCCTGCCTTGCACCAAATCTGATTTCCTCCATTTCCTGATTGTCCCTTTCTCTGTTTCTGGTTTCTTCCACATTGACCCTTACATTGGGAGCTGCCTCTTTTCTCTCCCAGCTTCTGGCTGGAAATCCCTAGGAAACTTCCTGTGATGGGCATTTTTTCCCCTTCTGAGGGCATATTTGGGGCACCTGATAGCTGATGGTGTTTTTCCATTTGATGAAATGATTTACAAAATCAGCAAGGTCTCCTTCACCATCAGAAATAGAGTCACGGCCTTTTATATTTCCACCGAACACTTTAATTTTCTCTATGCCCAGAGGTCCAGCATTTCCCATTCAAAGTGTCCTCCTCCCTGAGCAAATTGGGAGACCCCAGGCTTTCTTTGTCACAAGTGTCAGGCTGTTTCTCGCCTCCAGGGCCGAGCCTGATGGGGCCACTACAGCTGCTGCCACACAGTGTCGCTATTGAACACATTCTGGTGCAGTTTGGTGACTGCCCAGTCACTGCTACAGCAATCTCCTTGCTGAGCTGGATCCCTGTACAGGCCAAACTGGTGCCCCATTGCTAAGATGTCAAGTTACAGGCTCTTTATTTCACTCATAAGCTCAGCCAGATGGTTTAGGTCTTTAGGGACTTCCAGACTCAAACACATATTGCCCCAAACCAGTCTGTACCATTAGCTCCAGTGTTGAACCTAGGTTATAGGTCCAGGCTCCTGGTGTCCTTTCCTGACAGTGGACTTCAGTCAAGGGCAACCCAACCCATCAGAGAGGTTCCAAGAACATTGCCCCTCAAATGGGGAGGCATTAAACATTCAGTCTCTGTTCTGTCCAGAGGCTCCACTGGGTATCGTCTCCCACCTCTCTTCGGGGCTCTGTCTACATAACTCAAGGAGCCCCTTCAAGGGCCAGTTGCCTTATAATTGAAAACACACCTGGACAATGAGTTATGGCATCCTAGCCAGAGAATTGTTGGCAACTTCCTTTCCTCAAAATGCCTTGTTTCACAGACTCTTATGACAGGATGCTGTTCTGGCCCAGCATCTTTCTACCCTTTCAAGGGTGACATACCTCCCATCCCAGGGATGAAGCTGGCTTTGAGGAGCAGTGGGTGAGCTTCTGCTTTGCTGAGCCAGGTCCACAGGCTAAGAGGAAGAGCTGGAATAGTTAGGATAATGATGGGGATCTTTGCAGGCAATGTCAAGGAAGGAGGAACAGAGAGGAAAGACAGGACAGCTGGAGAGAGCCATCTGTAGGAAGGGGGTTAAACTTTGTCCATGGCATGCAGTGTAAACCTTCCCTCCAGCTACCCACAAAAGCATCAGAAATCTGGAGCTTACTCTCCAGCGTTTTGCCAGCTGGGTTTGTGGTTTTGCGGTGAAGTGAGCTTGGTATCAAAGGGACACAGGACACAAGCAGAGGCTTCCAAGCCCCCCACACCCCCCTGGGAGGGGCACTTCTGTTCAACACAGATGGGGACATGGAGGACCAGGGGAGGGGCTGGGCCAAGGTCACTCAGCAAGTTAGAGCCCCAAGCGGCTCCTCCCACCAAACATGAACCCCCAAACAGCCCGCTGAGCCGTGGTGAGCCCCAATCTCCAGCCTGCCTTCCCAAGGGGCTCAGTACAGATATTCCCGCACGGTGAGTTCCTTCAGGGTGAAGCCCCAGGGGCTGGGCTTGCGGAGCTGGCACTCCTGCAGCTTCTTCTGCAGCGACACGAAGTCCTTGCCCAGCTCATAGGCCAGGCGGATCATGGCCTCCAGCAGGGGGGCGTAGTAGCGGTGGCCCTCCCGGGCCTGCAGGCACTGCAGCGCCCTCTCCCCCGCCGCCAAGGCCTCGGCTGGCCGCTCAAGGTCGCGGTGGCACACCAGCATGGCACAGAGGGCCGGGACCACCATCACGGGGCAGTGGGCCGTCAGCTTCTCCTGCAGGGGCACGACGCGCACCAGGATGTCCAGGGCGCGGCCGTACTGGCCCCCGCGCAGGCAGCCGAAGGCCTCCCGGAGCTCGGGCCGCGTCAGGAAGTCGATGAACTCGCGGGAGCGCCGGACACAGCGGATGGCGTAGAGCAGGCTCAGGTACTCCTTGAAGGCCAGCTTGCGCTCGGAGATCATCTCCGCCGTGAAGTTGCCCATCAGGTGCTTTTTGGGGAAGACGATGTCTTCCATCTCTTCCCGGAACGTCTTGAGGAGGTTTTTCTGGAGCATCTCAAAGTCTGAATAGCGCCGTTCCAGCACAGCTTTGTTGCTGTCAAAACTCCCTGTCTGGATGACGACGATTTGGTACATCTGCGGTGCAGAGAGAGAGAGAGAGAGAGAGAGAGAGAGAGAGAGAGAATTTGACTACATCCTAATAGAAGGTTGTAACTGACAGAGTAAGCCCCGGCAAATAAAACTAATGATGATGATCATTTAAAGCAGATCGGAAAACAGGTTATCGTTACTTGCGATTCTGTTTTAAATTGCCACCAGCTGCTGCTGAGCTATAACTGCAGCTGGTGACAAGAGGCCGCCCGAGAATAACAAACAGGGCAGCATGGAGGCGTCTCGGGGGACCAAGACCACAGGAATAGGTGGTGCCGGGGGCCTGGGGGTGCTCCCGGCTTTCCATCATCAAAACTGGACCTCGGGTTCCTGCACCGGGGAGCTTAGGTTAGATCTGCATTTCCCAAGTGTGCGACACTTGAGGGGTGGTTTTAGGTGGTATGTTGGCAGTGATGTCCCATGGTAAGAAAATGATTGCTTTTTCAGATCTCTTCCAGTTAGAGAATACTGGTTAAGGGCACAGGCTCTTTGGGTTTTAATTCCAGTCCTGCCGCAGTCTAGCTGTGTGATCTTAGGTACATTAGCCACTATGAGCTTCGGTTTTTGCACCCATGAAATAGAGATAGTAACAGTACCTCACTCCTCGGGGTGAGGATGCCATTATAGTTAATGCACTGCAACCACAGGGGTGAGGGGGGCTCTGTTCAACACGCAGTCAGCACCCAGTGTCAGCTGTTGTTATTTCAGTCCCAGTTGAGGGAGCAACGCACAGAGAAGGGTTGAGCGTGGCTCCTACTTGGATGTGAATGCCTTGCCCCAGCACAGGTGGAAATTCTGTTTTAATGAAGAGAGTAGCCCCTAAGCCCAGCGCTTGCCACCAGCCGCGGCCTAACCAGCTGGAATCTAATGACAGCACTTAGCTTTCCTCGCATTTACTCTAACGATGACCTTCTCTTTATGCTATGAGATACCGGTTTCCCCTCAAAAGATACTTATTTCATGTTTTTAAAAGGTGATCTGATTTAAAGAAAAATAGGCTAATGATTATTATCTATCATTATGTTAGATAATATGTAATTATTAATAATATCAGTGATTGGTGGTATCAACTATCGTGTTGAAGGGACACATAGATGGCTAGTTCTGGATGACATGGAATTCATCTGGGTTAGTTCCTTCTCAGGATTAGGGACCATGACTCACACATCTCTGATCGCCAGTACTTCACACAATGCCCAGTGCAAAATCTTGCTTTTTGAAGCCTGTCTCTGTTAGAACTCTGTGGGTCCAAGGGCGTTGGGCCCATGTCACAGTGGGGAAGGCTGAGGCTCCACCGACTCGCCCAGGGTTGGGAGGGAGGTGGTGCAAGGCACACCATCCCCGCCTGATCTTACCACAAACTTGGAGACTTTTCTCTCCTCAATGCGGGCGGACGCGACCTCGAAGAGCAGCTTGACGCGCCTCCAGCAGCGCTTCTCCTTTCGCCAATACTCCTGCAGCTCCCGGGTGGTCATGCTGGAGTTGGGGCTGGGGCTGCTGTGGGCGTCTGCAGAGGACACCACCCTTTAGGCACTTGCACCAGGTCAGTGCATTTTGGGGACAAGGGTCTGGGGAGACGGCTGGGTCTGTCTGGGATGGGGGTGTCCAAATCTGGAAGAGCCATCCTACCCCCTCCCCCACCCCGCCCCCGCCCGCCCAGACTCCCGCGCCCACCCAGCTGCAGCACAACCTGATAGCCCATCCTCTCCCCCCGCTGGATTCTCCATTGCGAGATGCGATATGTTTGTGTTGCACCATCCACTTCTGGCCTACAGATTGGCCCCCGGTGAGACCCACGCTCCCGACACCCAACACTCGAGGATGGAGGCTTGTTGCTTTCTGTACGCTCTGCTCCCTATGGCACTGACACAGTATGGCCAGTGTGGCCGCTGGACTCCTGAGCACACATCAGCGACCAGTGGAGGGAGCTAGTGAGGATGATGGGCTCCAGTCCCACCCCCCCACCCCACCCCCAACTCCCAACTCCCAGTGGGATCCTCCCTACTCTCCTCACCTTCTCGCCACCCCGTCCTCTTGCTTGCACCTGCTACTCCTTCTGCCTTTAATACAACCTTCCTATTTGCTGACCTGGAAAACTGTGTTCCTTAGACCTCACTTGGCCATGTGCCACTCTGATCATCTTGGGAAAGATTAGAATCCTTCCCCAGCGAAATGCACAGATCATTGTGCATTTTATTTTCAGGGAAATGGGGCCCAGGGGCCCTTCTCCACTGTGTCCTTCAAAACACAGCCCTATGTCACTTTAACCCCTCGCTTCAGAGTCAGGGTCTCCCACCTTGTCCCTACAACCGGTTTTGTGACATCTCTAATCATTTCTCACAGAGCTGTTTCCCCACCACACCGAAGGGCAGCAGCATTGGATTTGTTTCCATTTCCCCAGGGCCAAGGACAGAGCAGGTGTTCCGCAGGCACCTACTGAAGGGCTGCATGAATGAGTACATCAATCTGCTCCAGGAGATGACGCTACTGTGGACACTGTCAGCGCTGGGCCGTGCTGCTTGGCACTCACTGCTCTGAAATGTCCCACTGGCTTCCTTCCATAACTCTCACTCCGAGGGCCTTCTCCAGCCAGAGCAGCCTGTTCTGGAGCTTCCCTTGGAGGATAAAGAATGGGACTGGTGGGTAATAGTAGTCTGGCCTCCTTGCCTCTTGGATGGGACACCCCGAGATATGTTTCACACGTCTTGCAAAGGACCCCTGTGGGGACTGAGTCCAGTCACCCCACAGCAGTAATCAACACCTTGTCCTGGCCTCCTCCCCTTCTTTTCCTCGATTTACCACCCCCCTGCTATGATGCCTGGGACCATCTCCCAGAAAAATAATTGGCACTGAATTCTCGTGTCATTAAGAAAGGTGCTCCCTCACCTGTGGCACCTCTCAAAATGCCCACATTTGTATTTCAAACATCTTCAAACCTCTATCTCTGACCAAGCCCCGAGCCTCAAGCCCACCTAAGTGCCCTTCAGGTCCTGGACACGGGAGGTCTTGGCCAGCGGCTGATGCTTCCTGCTTGACCCCCACAGTGCACTTGGCTATGGGTCCTGTTCGTTCAGGGCTCCCGGGGTGCTCAGGACTTGCCATGCTCCAAGGCTGCCAGGGGGACAAGAGACAACAGTGAGTTCCCAGTCACGTTGGGGTTCCTGGGGGGCCCTGGGGTGCTAGGATCTGTATCATAGTCCCTACTACCAAGCCCTCCACTGCCACACTTAGCAGTCCACCCAGCTGCCACACACGAGGCCTGGGTCTGCCCCTATGCTGGACTGATTAGCCCAAGGCTGCCTCTTCTTGTTACGATGCTTCTATCATCAAGTTTTCTGAATCTTAAATGTGGTGATTTCAAGCAAAGGTAGTGGCTTTAGGGATTACTCGGGAGAAAGCTGCCAGCTTGTCCTGAAGAGCATCCCAACACTCCATTTTATGTTCAGGTGTAGATAAAATCTCAGTGCCCATAGCAAGGGTACCAGGATGTATCCTTCCCATCTCCCTCTCCCTCTCTAAGCACACCCTTACTGACGGCTTGTTGCACACACTTCATATTGCACCCAGGTTCTTCATATCCACTTATTTCACACCCACAAAAATCTGTCGTGACTCCTAATCACAGAAGAGGAAACTGAGGTTTAGTTGGCCCCAGGTGACACTGCTGATGAGCGTGTCCCACAAGCAGAGCCGAATGTCTGTGATGTGTCAGCTCGTGCGCTCAGCACTCAACACCCACTCTCTCACTTAACTGACTCTGTGTGCAGAAGGACTTTTATCTCCATCTTATGATAAAGCAACGGAGACTTGGAACCACCCACGATCCGATGGCTAGGAGGTGGTGGGCAGGACGCAGAGGGAACCGTCCTTGGGGTCAGGGGGAGGGCAGCCAGCAGGAGTGCTGGGGCTAGTTTATGCAGGAGCTCTGTCTGTGACCCAGATCCATGAACGGGATGACCTGGTGCTTGCACTTGAGTGTGCCTCAGTTTTCTATTAAGGTGAGTACAAGAACAGAACCTGCCTTCACGGGGCTGGCGTGAGGGTTAAGTCGGGGAGACCACGCAAAGTAGCAGCAGCTCAGCGCTCTGCACGTCCCAGGCGTGGTACAGTAGCCCCTGCTACCCATGCCTGACACAGGACAGTACTTTGAGAAATATTGGAAAAGGCAATGACTTCTCATGAGGGTGTGAGTTGGAATAGAGTTTAACACGTCTGAGACAAATTGGAAACCGGGACGCTGGGAGCGCCCGGGTGGCTCAGGCGGTTGGTTCACCTGCCTTTCAGCTCAGGTCGTGATCCTGAAATCCTGGGATCGAGGCCCACATGGGGGGTTCCCTACTTAGTGGGGAGTCTGCTTCTCCCTCTGCCCCTTGCTCCTCTCTCGCTCACTCTCAAATAAAATCTTAAACATACACACACACACACACACACAAACAGGACAATGGAAATACTAGCTCAGGTGGAGTGAAGAGCTGGGGCACTGCTTTGGGACAGAAATTCAAGATTAGAAGGGTGCATGTGACCTTAACCCCCCTTTTTCACGAGATCCGAGGGAGCCGCACAGGGCACATGGGGCAGAGCTGGGACTTGAACCCTGGTCACCTCTGTCTGCTGCATTCCCACCCCTGTCTGAATCCTTCTGCTGACTGTGGCCTAGAGGGGCAGGACTATTGCTGCTGTAAGAGAGCCCCAGCCCTGTCCCTGGGCTGAGGGCCTCCTGGACAGGCCTTGCCTGGGGAGAGCTGAGGTCATCTGGGAGCTCGGGTGAAGGGAACCCAGGGCCATTCTCTAGGTGGCTCTGTGCAGCTGCCCAGTGCATGTCTCTCCTCCATCAAACCTTACTTTATACAGGTGGGAAACTGAGGCACAGAGTAGAGGCATGGTCGGCCCCGGGCTGCACACACTTGAGTCTGCTAGAACCTACACACCTCATTTGCTGCTTCTCCCCTTAAAGAGCCAGGCCTTCCATCCTGACCAGTGGTGAGTCTGTCTGCAAGTTATTTAGTATCTCCAGGCCTCAGGGTCCCTACCTGAGAAGTAGGGCCATAAGCCCAGTCATGCCAACAAGACTATGGATGATGGGGGACGGTTTCTCTATATCCTGGTAGGTGCCCAGGAAAGGTGGTGAGTGGTCTACATGCTCTCTTCCCTAATGCATGGTGGGTGGCCAGGGCTTGTGGAAGCCCAGTGTTTCCTGTGGGCACTCCCATGTACCTGCCTTAGTTAGCTCATCTGTAGAATGGGTGATGGCGAGCCTCAATGTCCCAGCCCTTCCAGCTCTGCTATCCTGATCAGGCCACACTAGTGCCAGGTCAGTAGCAGGGCACAGTTTACCCAGAGACCCAGTGAGAGCCCAGGAATCATGGTCTTGGCTGGGTGCAACAGCAAAGCTCTAGCAATGCTGAGTATGAACCCAGGGCTTTGGATAAAAATCAAATTCAGCAACCAAAGCCAGTTCCCCTATGTTTTCTCTTCCAGGGTTGGCTGGGAGTCACCATGAGGGGGGGGTGTGTGAAAAGAAGAATGTTACGCATTGGTGCATGCATGGAGTCTTGGGCATCTCTAGGCCTCAGTCTCCTCATCTCTGAAATGGGGAAAGCAGTCTGTCACTCCAAAAGCTCTTTGGGGGCAGCCCGGGTGGCTCAGCGGTTTAGCACTGCCTTCAGCCCAGGGTGTGATCCTGGAGACAAGGGATCGAGTCCCACATTGGGCTCCCTGCATGGAGCCTGCTTCTCCCTCTGCCTGTGTCTCTGCCTGTGTCTCTGCCTCTCTCTCTCTCTCTCTCTCTCATGAATAAATAAAATCTTAAAAAAAAACCCAACAACAACAAAAAAAGCTCTTTGAAACAACCAGACATGAGGTTCTAAGGTTACTTCTCTCCCCTCTCCATACCCTGTATAGCAAAGGTTTCTAGATTTTATAAGAAAATCCTACACATGTTGGTGCTCTGGGGCGGGGGTCCCGTGCATGGCCCAGGAGACAGAGCGGCTTCCCAGCCCCCTCTCGGTCCAGCTGTGTGCAGACATTCTGCTCCTTCCCTCTCGGGCCCTGAGCACCACTCCTCCCTCTGAGACCTGCCTGCCATGGCCAGGCCGCCTTCTGATGGCAACACTGAGCTGCCTTCAGAGCCCATGCTCCCTTCCTGGGAGGGCTCCACAGGACTTTCCATCAGCGTGAGACAGAAGATCCTGGACACTGTGGGTGGGCACACATTTGAGAATCTCCCAGGGGGGTTGGGGTGCCAGGAGCTTGTAACAAGCAGGTATCCTGGCTCTTGACATCATAGACTCCCCTCTGGCCGGTCTGGGGATGGGCCCTGGATTCCACATTTTGCACAGGTTCCCCCAGGCTATGCTGACACAGGGGTTCCCTGGCACCACTTTTTGAGAAACGCAGGTGCTGTGATTCATTCCCCAGCCTCAAGAGGAGTTGTAGAAATACCCCAAAAGAACTGAGGTGATGGAGGGTCAGGGAGCTGCTTTCTGCTCTACCCCAATGAGCTAAGGAGAGCTCCACACATCGAGGCTGTCACCGACCCTTCTCTGCCCTGCCCTGCCCCCAACAGGTACTAGGGAGGGCCACAGGAGGAGGGTGCTCAGGCCTCAAAGGGCCGGGGTCCCACGGAGGTTAGGATCAAACACTGACCTGAGGCCTGTGGTCCTGTGTGGGTCCAGGGATCCGAGAGGAGTATCACATGGCTGCCTTCAGCTCCCCTCTCTTCTAGGCTCCAGCAAGGCTGCCGCTTCTAAGTTCCCCGTTTGAAAACAGGAAATAGGCTGTGTGACCTGCTCTTGGTGGCCCCAGCCCATTGGCTGGTGACAGATAGTATACTGAGCCCCACAGACAGGCGGGCCCCACGGGGCAGGGACAGGGCAGGATGGGGCAAGGCAGGGCCAGCCCCGAGGGATCCGGTTCTGAGGGATCCTGTTGGGCCTCACACAGCCTTGCAGCTAGCTTGGCTGTCCCTCAGAGTCCCAGATAATCTATGGCAATCAAACAGCATCTCCCACTCCTCTTTAAAATTCATTATTCTACCCTATGAGCTAGGCCTGATGGGGGCCCTCATGCCCCATGAACAGATGGGGAGACTGAGCTTTGGAAAACAGAGCTGGTGGGATGCAGAGCCAGCATGTGATGTGGAAGAGAAATAGGGTAAACTCACAATTCCATTTGGTGCCTTTCTCTGGGCAAAGCTGCATTCAACACTCCCAACAGAAAGTACCAGGGAGGGACGCCAGGGTGGCTCAATGGTTGAGTGTCTGCCTTTGGCTCAGATCGTGATCCTGGGGTCCTGGGATTGAGTCCCAAATCAGGTTCCCTCTGCCTGTGTCTCTGCCTCTTTCTTGGTGTTTTTCGTGAATAAATAAATCTTTAAAAAAAAAAAAAAAAAAAAAAGGAAAAAGAAAAAGAAAGTACCAGGGAAGTCAGCCCAGAGGTCTGTGATGTGATTCACAGCCACTAGGTGTGTATGGCGTGAGGGCAGGAGACTGGGACAAAAAAAAAAAAAAATAGAGCCTTGCCAGCCCCCAAGAAGGCCATCATGTATTTCTTGTGACCTATGACCCCTTCTTCCCCATTAGAGACAGTCACACTCCTAATTCTGATGGGGGTCACTTCTTTGCTTTTCCTTGTAAATTTATGACCTATGAACAGGACACCTCTCCCACTGAAACAACAGAACTTAATTTTAATGATTTTGGAATTTTAGGTAAATTGAGCCATGCATAGTGTTTGTATGCTTTGGTGTCTTGCTTCCTTCATTCAACATTTCTGTGTATAAGATTCATCAATTTGTGTATGTGTGTGTAGCTGGAGTTTTTTTATTTTTGTTGTTGTGTTGCTACATTATTTGAATACATCATTATTTCTCCTTTTTTGGGGTGTATGTGAGGGTCTGTGAATACACATTCGGGTTGTTTCTAGCTAGAGCCATTGTGATCGAGGCTGCTGGGAACATTCTTACACATTTATCCAAGTGCACATGTTCATGGAAGGTGAAATCCCTAGGTTTTAGAGTATGATGAGCTGAAGAGCTTTCAAGTGTGCTGGATTATAAAAAATGTTTCCCCCAGTGACCGTGTCTCTTCGTGCTTCCACCCACCGCAGCGCCTGGGTGTTCTAGGCACTCTACGTCCCCACCTACACTTGATGAGGTCAGTATTTTTTTTTTTATTATTGTAGCAATTCCAGTGGGTGTGTAAGTGGTGTCTCATCATGATTTTAAGTTGCATTTCCCTAATAAGAAATGATGTAGAGCATATTTCCATAGTCTTATTTTCTGTCCTTATATCCTCTGTTCAAGTCCATTGCTTATTTTTTTAAAAACAGATTTAATTAATTAATTTAGTAGAGGAGGGGCAGAGGGAGAGGGAATCTCAAGCAGATTACACGTTGAGCACAGAGCCTGATGTGGGACTCGATCTCACGACCCTGAGATCGTGATCTGAGCTGAACTCAGGAGTCGGATGCTTAACTGACTGAGCCACCCGTGTGCTCCCCATTGCTTGTTGTTTGATTGGCTGCTTTTCTTCCTGGTTTGTAGGTGTTTTTCATACTTTCATTTGGGTCAATGTGGTTTCCAGTATTCTTTCCCAACCTGTGTGGCTCGCATTGTACTCTCTAAATAGGGTCTTTGCAGGAATAGAAGTTGCCAACTTTAAAGAATTCAACTGTATCAGTCTTGGCTTTCACAGCCCATGTCCTACCTTAAAACCACGGAGATTTCTCTTCCATTGTTCTTTCTCGTTGCTTCTGCAACAACTTTGCAAGCCACTGAGAGGCTTAAGCTGAGTCACTACATGCAAAGCACTTAGAACAGTGCTGGTCCCTAGCACCACATGAGTGCTGGGAATTCCTGGTGTTCTCAACGCCTTTCCAGTTTGCCTTTCTCATTTGGGGTTCTCTGATGCCTTAGAGTAGATTTTCATGTATGGCGTGAGGTAGGAGGCTCAGTATTTTTCCCTCCATGGTTACCCCCCAGCCTTGTTTGTTGAAATGGCCATCCAATTGCATGGCTCAGTAGTACCATCACTGTTAAAAGGGCATCCACGTATGTAAGGGTCTAGGGTGTGCCAGGGGAGTAGTCTGAGCAGTGTCCCTCTGGTCTGCTGGCCCGTGAGCTGGAGAGCAGGGGCCCTACCTCACTCACCCCTGCTCTGCCCCTCCCCGCAGATGGCCTGGCAAAGCTGTGGGACGCTGAGTCTGTGTTGAGTGAGAATGGAAGTCCTTCTCCCATCTCCCCCGCCTGGAGTCTTCAAGCCTCTCACCCAGCAGCCAGTGAATGGGGGGAGGGGTGTGTGGAAGCTACTGCTTCCTCTTCTGGGGGCAGGAGGTGTTCTTTGGAAACCCCCGAACATGTTGGGGTGTCTGGCTGGCGTGGGAAGGACCTAGCTGGACCAGAGTGACCGTGGCTGGCCACTTGCCAGGTGTCAGCTCCTCTGCCCGGCGCAGAACTGTGTATGGTAGAGGAGAACAGGCAAGGGCGAGTGGGGCCCTGCTGACATGAGTGGGGGGGCACAGACTGGGCTGTGCCAGAATGTAAAGAGGGGCACCACAGGGAAATGCTGGCATCTCAGGGTCTGGGTGTCTCTTCCAGAATTCAAAGGGCTTGGACTTTATGGTGATGTCCTCCGGACTCCCTCTGGAGGCCTCCTGACCTGCCACTTGCTCGCTTCCTGACCTCTGTCTGTGCCACTCCCAGCATTGCCACACGCCAGCCAGCCCGGACTGCTCTCTCTACCTCAGCCTGCCCTGCCCTGGCCTGTCCTCGCAATTCCTCCAGCCAGCAACACCCCTCTCCTGGTTCTTGCCACAGCTGGCTCTTTCTCATCCTGCAGCTCAGCGTGCCTCCTTGGTGCAGCCCCCGACCCCTCTGTTAAGACCTACCATTGTTTTGGCTTCTTTGTTTACTTGTTTATTGCCAGTCTCAAGTGCCATGGTGACGAGGACTCGCCTGTGTCAGCATTCTGGCCCCAGTGCCTACCGTAGTACCTGCCACACAGAGGGCGCCCGGCAATTGTGCGATGCACGAATGAGTGGCTGTGTGCAGAGAAGGGGTGATTCGATCCATGACTCACCGTGTGACCTCAGCAGGCCACCACCCCTCTCTGAATCTGGTTTTCCTAATTGCACCATAGATGAAATTCAGCATCCTCCTAGCACCACCGGGGCAAGTATCTTTTGAAGAGTGGCAAGTACTGCTCACCACTGCACTGGGTGTCTGACAAGCTTGAGAATCCAACACCAACCTACCCCCTTGGATAAAGTCAAGAAGTGATCACTCACGGGGGTGTTGCCACAAGTGTGGCAAAGAAAACCTATGAGGTGTTTGCTCATAGATGATGCCAAATCTGGTCATGTCAATCTTGTTTTTCCACAGCTGAGTGTACACACATAAACCCTTAAAAAACACTCAAAGGTCCTGGGGCATCTGGGTGGCTCAGTCAGTTGAGTATCTACCTCTTGGTTTTGGCTCAGGTTGTAATCTCAGGATCGTGAGATTGAGCCTCGAGTCCGGCTCTGCGCTCAGTGCAGAATCTTTTTTTTTTTTTTTTTTTTTTTGCTCAGTGCAGAATCTGCTTGAGATTCTCTCCCTCTCCTTCTGCCCTTCCCCCCCATTTGTAGGTGTGGTCTATAAATGAATGAATAAATGAATGAATGAATAAATAAAAATCTTAAAAAAGAAAACCCAAACAACTCTCAAAGGTTCTGCTACCATACAATCCAGCAATTCCATTGCTGGGTATTTATCTGAAGACAATTGAAACACTAACTTGAGGGGATCCCTGAGTGGCTCAATGGTTTAGCGTCTGCCTTCAGCCCAGGGCATGATCCTGGAGTCCCGGGATTGGGCTCCTTGCAGGGAGCCTGCTTTTCTCTCTGCCTGTGTCTCTGCCTCTCTCTCTCTGTCTCTCATGAATAAATAAATAAAATCTTAAAAAAATAAAAATAAAAAATAAAACACTAGCTTGAAAAAAGATCTGCGTCTCCATGTTCCCTGCAGCATTATTTACGACAGCCAAGACATGGAAACAACCTAAGTATCCGTGGATGGATGAATAGATAAAGAAAATGTGGTATCTACATACAGTACAATATTATTCAGATCACAAAAAAGAATGAAATCTTGCCATTTGCAGCAACATGAATGGATCCTTCACACGCAACGTGGAATAGCTCAGCCAAACACTGCACGATCTCTCTTATATGTGGAATTATCGAGAAAAAAAAGCTCATAGATACAGAGAATGAACTGGTGGTCACCAGAACCAGAAGTTGGGTGGGTGAAATGAGTGAAGGGGGTCAAAAGGTACTAACTTCCAGTTATAAAAGAAATATATCATGAAGATATAAAGCACAGCATGGTGACTTCTGTTAATAATACTGTATTATATATTGGAAAGTTGTTAAAAGAGTATATCTTAAAAGTTCTCATCACAAGAAAAACAAATCTTTGGCCATTTTTCATGACTAGATTTATCGCAGTGATCATTCACAATATACATACAAACACTGTATCAGTATATTGTGCACTTGAACCTAATATTGTCATAAAAATTATTTTAAAAAATCCTTGAAGGTTAATACTGTGGGATTTTAAAGTTTGTTTGTTTATTTACTTACTTATGTAATGTCTACACTCAACATGGGGCTAGAACTCACCACCAGGAGATCAAGAGTCACATGCTCCTCTGACTGAGCCAGCTAGACACCCCAATACTGTGGGATTTTAAAATTGGGGCT